CCTGGGTTGGTTCACAATAAGTTGATACATGAGATCATAGAGGAACCTGGGAAATAATTTCTGTGCATACTGAGGGCCTGAAAAGACCTGAAAGAAGCTGGGACTGACCCTCCAAGAACACAACATGGGACAAAAACTCTTTCCATCAAGTGTTCCCTTGTGATATTTGTGGATCTAACATGTCTTTATGGACCTGTTGCCATGACTGAAAAAACTTGTAAATATTTCAGAACACTGTGCTGATCACACAACTCTGATAGCCCTTCCTAGAAGTTTGCTCCACTCAATGGTTCATGTGAATCCTTTTTAAAACTCAGCTCTGGGATGTTAATGAACCTGAAATCTAAATCCTAGAGGTTATTATTTCTAGAAAATTTATTTCCAACAAATACTTATTAAGATAATGTATAAGGTGATATATTTCATGTCATGTTTAATAAAACATATACTTTTAACGACACGTGTAACATATTATTTGAGTATAAAGTATACTTGAAAAAAATCATGAAATCATGTTGACCTACAGGATATATAGTGCATGGCTAGATATTATATTCTACTGTATTTTGTTTTTCAAAATGCTGTTCTTAGTTCATTAGGCTACTCAATTCTTGGAGAGTAAACTTTGCTTTGATAAATTACTTTATTGGATTATTCAGTTAAAAATGAACACTGTGCAAAAAGAAAAATGATACCCCACAAGCTCAGAATGAGATAATGGTCTCTATACCAAATAAAGACTAGACCCCAGAAACAAATTATCAACAAGGCTACCTGTGAAGACAATGTGCTTAGGTATGCACAACTGGCTCATTCTTGTAATTGGGTACAGACAACTTTTATGGTCAAAAATAAAGTCATCAAAGCTATCATCCCAAAACACCTCTCATTTCAAAAGAAATAAGAAACAGGTTATTCTTGAGTGAAATGTGAGTGACCATGGTCCAGTAGCATCGATCCAGTTTACACACAAATAACAAGCCCCGTTTTAAAATGGTTTTGTGAAATTATAGGTGTATGTTGTAGGGAGCCTATAACAGACCACGCAGATATCACCAAAGTTCAACTTGGTGAACCAATGTGTTTTACTGGGGTCACATAGAAGAATAGGGAGTGAGGGCTACTTGCAGGAGCATAAATGAATCACAGACAACTTTCACCAAAGCATTTCACAGCACGGGTGACAGCTCTCGAAAGCTGGGAATCTGGAACACATTACATAGTCCATAGAGAACTCAATACTTTGGAAAGTGCTCCTTCCAAGTGATTCAGTTGGTCTAAACCTCCTCCAAGAGCTTGGCTAATTTTTGCTTCTTCCAGGCAGTTGGTATTGTATCAGAATCTTCTTTGCAGATTTGCTTGTCAGAAAGTGACTTTCCACATCCTATATTATTTACTCTTAGGAGGATGACTCTGGCTAGTTTCAGGGATTCCCTGAAGCTATTTTGAGTGCTTTCATCTTCTGTCATAAGGAGCTTCCCTGAAGGATAGAATGCCTCACCAATGAAGGAATCTGCTATGCAACAATATAAAATAAAATCAAGGCATTTCCAAATACATCAATTGAGTAAATCACATAGGCTGTTATAGCAAAGTGGGAAAACTGCAAAAGGTCTCAGAGCTATATGATGACATTCTTAGATTCGGGTTGGTGAAAGATATAATACATTCTGAAATGTTACCTGAAAATCTCAAAGCTGTCAGATCAGCAAAGAGGTTGACAACAAACGGTCCAAGTCTTTGACTTTTGTAACCATCCCTAGAAATAAACTTTTGTATAACCTCAGAAATACCTGTCATAGCCCAGTATTTATCAGGAAAAAACCACCCTGGCAAAGGAAGTGGAAGTTTAGGAATGCATACATAAAGCTTAGTAAATACTTGTTGAAAATTAAAGGGCTGGCATGGCAACTGCCTCCAAAGTTTCCTTTATTTCATACAGTGTTTCTTGGTTTCAGGAGTACATTCCTGCATATTTAGTTAGTGAAAGATAATGAATGATACACCTACTGAGAGAGTAAGATGGAATGCCAAGAATGTTTCACAGCCTGTGTTATTACCTTTTACACATCAAATAGCCAAATTCTGAATGCACAAACAACTGTGACTCTGCAAAATGCAGCTGTTTGGGCATTGGCAAGAGCACTAGTCTGCATGTTATATAATGGTTATTGAGCAATTGTGCATTTAACTCAAAGGGCATTAGTAAAAGAGAAAATAAGTTTTGAAAATGAAAAGGGCAGAGAGACAGACAGATTGAGACAGAAACACAGAGAGAGGTGCTGGGTACTCAAGGATCTCTAAAAGGTACAGTATTAGAATCTAGAAGAATGTTCTGTGCTCCAGACCTGACCTGCCTCCTATTTTTCCTCAAATACAATTATTTTAAAAACATAATCACTCATCCATTCATCAGCTCTCTATTGTTACTTCTAATCAGTGTAGACCAAATTACAACAGAATTGATGTGTCACAGGAAGATGAAAATGTTTCCTAAGAAAAAGTTTGCTATTCCCTGTTCAGATGAATTATTTCCATGTGTGTAACTACTCACTCAAAGACCTCAAGCTGTTCTTGAGGCTATGTAGGGATTGTCTCATGGATATCAAGGCAGGACTGGAAAGGAAGGGTAACAGACTGGGGAAGCTTTGCCTGAAGTGAGATTTCAGCCTTATACTGTGAGCTCTATGATCACACAAGCTGTGTTTCTCTCTGTGTTTACAAAATGAGAAGCTTGGTTCAGGGTGGAAAGAGAAAGAGGTTTCCAAATCCCTAGCTAAGTCCCCATGCAGGGGAGATAACAACTACTACAAAGAAATGGTCATTGTTCCTTCTTAATAACCAGAGCATCCAAAGAGTGCTATTTTGTTCCTCTCTTGCTATAGACTGTAGAATTATGTAGTGAGAGACCAGCTGACAAGTCATGTAGCTTACCCACCAGGATCACACATTCTGAGTGGGAGGCCCACACACAGGGCTGTCGGAGTATTTGCTTTATGAGTAATCACTGCCCTAAATGTAAATTCCCTGTGAAGCCATAGTGCTCCCTTTCTTTCTTTCTTTCTTTCTTTCTTTCTTTCTTTCTTTCTTTCTTTCTTTCTTTCTTTCTTTTTTTTTTTGGTTTTTACAAGACAGGGTTTCTGTGTATTGTTTTGGAGGCTGTCGGTCCAGCCTGGCCTCGAACTCACAGAGATCAGCCTGCCTCTGCCTCCCTAGTGCTGGGATTAAAGGCGTACGCCATTACCGCCAGGCTTCATAGTGCTCCCTTTCTATGGTGGGATTCATGCCCCAAACTCCAGCAATACATGACTCAATTACTGAGCACAATTTCTTCTATGTATTGGTGTTTTGGATGATTCCTCCCAGCTATGGGTGATTCTGAGAAGAAAGTAACCACATTCAAAAACTTTACTCTCTCAATCAATCAGGTCTTTGTATAAACTTAGAGGTCTATTTCCTGCAATTATCTTCCTTGTCAGTTGGCCAGTGTTAGTGTCCAGGCAAAAGAGACCTCTACTGCAACATTCACAGATGCCCAAGGACAAGAATTATGGCATGTCTGAAGTTGCTGTGTCATAGCTGTCAAAGAGATAGAGTACAAGAGTGCCCTGGATTCACTGTGCCAGCAGAAGGGGAAGGGCTGTCCCAAGGTTACCTCGTATTAACCTTAAAGCAAATTCTTAACTCTTTGGTTTGTACTTATTTTTACCATGGTCTATTTGCTAGTCATATTTAAGAAAACAGCAAAAGCACACACATACACATATTTCCTTCTAAGATTTCCTTAATGACTTCCTCTCTCTCTCTCTCTCTCTCTCTCTCTCTCTCTCTCTCTCTCTCTCTCTCTCTCTCTCTCTCTCTCTCTCTCCTTTCCCTTGAGGAAGTTCTTTTTTTGCTTTTTGAGACAGTTTTCTCTGTATTGTTTTGGAGGCTGTCCTGGTACTCCCTCTGTAGACTAGGCTGGCCTTGAACTCATAGAGATCTGCCTGCTTCTGCCTCCCAAGTGCTGGGATTAAAGGCATGTGGCATCAACGCTTAGCTGAAGAAGCTCTTGAAGGCTTTAATCATTTCCACCTTGAGCCACAGAGAAAGGCTGTGTGTAATTTACCACTCTGTGCAAAATTTTATCTGTTTCTATGACCCTGAAAAACTCTAGCCTTGCACACGCTAGGACTGGAGAGACAAGATGAGGGAGGTAGTAGCTGGAGGGAGAAGCTGGTTGAAGTTAGAATAAATGTAAAAAGATAAAATATAGGAAAAGTAAGTAGGAAAATGAAGAAGCAAAAACAGCAGTAGCAGAAGGAGGAGGAGGAGGAGGAGGAGGAGAATGAAACAGAATTAGATTAGAGCTCAGAGATTATTGTCAAATTAGGACAAAAGAATTCAAATAGAGAACAGTAAAGAGAGAACAATAAGGAGGAGCACATGCCTAGAATTAACGTGCTGTGAGGGGATTCTTTTCTATAGCCCTCAGACTTAGATCCTATGCTTATTGTAACATCTCTTTTTAAACCCTGAGCAATAGCTTTTGAGGATAGACCATAAAGCTTCCAGTACTCTCCTCACTTGTGCTGGAATGTCAACACAAAGAAGCATGTATTAAAAATGAAAATGCTATAGTTAAAAATTGTCAAAACACTCAGAATTTAAACGTTTAGGAGTGCTATTTCCAGTCTTTCTTTGTACACTACTAAGACTCTAATGGAAATGAGTGGTTTTCAAACTCCTAATGCTTCAACCCTTTAACACAGTTCGTCACGTAATGGTGACCCCAACCATAAAATTATTTTGTTGCTAGTTCATAACTGTAATTTTGCCACTGTTATGAACTGTAAAAATAAATATCTGATATGCAGGAGATATGATATATGATCTTACCAGTCCCTGGTGTTAGAAGACATTAGTGTTCTTTCTGCCCTGCCTTGAGTCTGCCCATCCAATCATATGCCAATATGCAAATAACCCTTAGTGCCAGCAGATTAAAAAAGAGCAAGGGCTCTAACAGAACTAACTTGCTGAGCCTGTCACCAGAATTCCAGGAGCCAAACCAGCAATGTCTTCCTCTTTGCAACCTGAAGTCCCTGCCCCGCTGGCCAACTTGAAGATTCAGTATACTAAGGTAAGACACTGGCAAGCAGGGCTTTCCCTGGAGGCCTGATTAAAGCCACGGTCGGTTGTGGCATCTGTAAGAGCTCTCTGCAAACATAAAAATAAAATCCTTGCAAAGTTAGTGGGCTGATTCAGTGGTGAATTCTAAACCATATCAGACACATGTCTAAGGAGAACAGATTTCCTTCTCTGAGAACAGTTCTTGTGCCAGGGTGCAGTGAAGCAGAGTGAGCAGCAGGTCTATTAATCCTGTGCAGAGAGCTTTCTAGGAGTGGTCCCTTGTCCAAAGTGATTGATCTGTAATGTTAAGTTTCCACCCAGGTCAGAGATTCTATTATTTTCACCAAGAGATATTTTATACTCTAACAGTGTTTGGTGCACAAAAAAGAGAACAAGCAAGCAGATTAATAACAAAAAGAGAAGGAATAACAACTGTAGTCAGAGAGTTATGTAATCTTAATCTTCAGAGTGTTTTTTTTGTGTGTACAAAAGAAGCCGTCTTTTCAGCTCTCATTCCCTAGTTCAGTTCCTCTTTGACTGGAGTAGATGAAATGGAGTTCAGTGTTTAAGAACTATTTCTTTTTAAAGAAGAAACTACAAAACCTTTTGTATTTGAAGTCTTTATAACTTTATAAATCCAAGTGCACCCATCACATCTCTGTCGCCATAACTCCTTAGGAGCAGTGCGTATATGCCACAGGTGCCCTCTTGCTTGCTATTGAGTTTTTGCAGAAAGAGCTTCTTTGAAAGTTACATGGTCACTGGCGAAACTCTATCACCTCTACCTGCCTCTGCTCTCTCACAATTACAATGGGATTGTGTGGAGTCCCATTTCCTGAGGAGGTATAACAGCTAGCACATGTAATTGGTAAGAAGCTCATGAGGCAGGGTCTGGGAATGATCAACATTAACTATACTAGTCCAGTGTATTTTTCCTGAATCATTTTCAACTTCTAGAATATTCTTACCTGACTTTTCCAAGATCTGTTTCCAACCTTGCTATTCTCCTCTCCTTTTCTCCTAATTGTCAGTCTGTCTTGCATAGTCATGTCTGGTCCGACAAAGACTGCACCAAAGAGAAGTCTGAGGTTCTTCCAAAAGTCTCAGGGGTGAAGAATTTTGTTTCTCGGGATTTGGGAATCTTACTTCTCCTTTCTTGTTGCACACACCTTACACATTTGTTGACTAAGAACAATTGTCTGTGACTCCAGTTCCAAGCTAGCCAAGGCCATCTTCATCATGTACCTGCACACATGTGCTACACAGAAACTCATATGGACAAACACATATAAGTGTAAATAAAAATTCACACATTTTTAAAGAATTTGAGTTATCAAGTGACAATACTTTCCCAAGCTCAAAAATGTCTTACTAGTTAATAATGTTTTTGTTCACACAGGGAATAAACTGCAATACTTCTGTTAGCTTTCTCACAATGGCCCTGTTACAACGCTAAGATTTCCTTTATAAGGAGGAAGGAATGGAGTCAAATGCAAGTAATGAAAAGCAAGGTCAGGGTGCAAATATTGAAATTCAGACTTTTTACAGTGATCTAAGGGTGCCTCTCCTAGTTACTACTAGTTGCAATGTCTTAGTGACACACACCTGAATTCCCAATTGCCTAACCTCAATGTTTCTTTAGGTGTTGAATCTCTCTCTCTCTTTCTGTCTCTCTCTCTCTGTCTCTCTCTCTTCTCTCTGTCTCTGTCTCTGTCTCTGTCTCTCTCTCTCTCTCACACACACACACACATATACAGGCGTGCGCGCGCACACACACACACACACACACACATTTTTAGCCAGGGAAAGTTACATAACTTTTAGGCAGTGTTTAATACCTCAACACACTGCATATTTAAATGCTTTTTATCTGCCTTTGCTTCATTGCCCTAGATCTTCATAAACAATGAATGGCATGACTCAGTGAGTGGCAAGAAATTTCCTGTCTTTAACCCTGCAACTGAGGATGTCATCTGTCATGTAGAAGAAGGGGACAAGGTAAGTTTTCCAACACCCATAGATCCAGTTCATTCCAGGAGTGTTTGTGTCTCACTGTTCTGAGCTCAAAGCCCACTGTAAGCTCAATGAAAGACATGAAAATATGATTGCTCAGGCAGTTGGGTGAATGTTCTGTTGTCCTTGGCATAAGAAAATTTGCCACATACACATCTGGTAGATAACAAATATATATATATATATATATTACATATATATAATACATAAGAACTTTTAAAAACCCATAAAATCAAGAGAACAAGAAACAGTAAAAAAACATGGGCTATAGATCCAATGTTAGCATTTTTAATGTTGTCTGGGAATCTAGAATGTGGAGGTGGGGTCCAAAACTTCAATAGTATGAAGCTACTATAACACAGTGAAGTATGACCTATTATATAACTTGTCTCCTTTCTTAAGAGTTATTACTAGTATTTAATATGGGACATGGAGTTTAAATAGAATAACATATTTAGGGTACTTGTCAGATAATCGTGATTTCTCCTTGACAATTAAAATTACACCAAAGAAAGAAGACTATGAATTTGTAGATGTCAGTTAACAAAAAGTGATATTCTCGGTGCTGTAACATTGAAGCCTTGACCATTTAGTTCCTAGGGGACATCTTGCTCTGACACTGGGGCTGGTCCTATCATCAAAGGAAAACTCTCTGCTTGGGTTCAGTGGAAACTTTGTCAGGCAAGCTGAGGACTTTGCTAAGAGAGTCAGTTAGGTTGACCATTTTCCTCAGGCACAGAAGGGAAAACTGGTGTCCATCTCAACAGCCTTGCCAGGGACAACTCTCCTTCCTGTAGAATGATCAAAGAGACTAATACATACACAGGCAAGCTGCAAGCCAAGTCACTGTGCCAATCTGGTTGTCTGGACAAATGAGTCCTCTAAGGCAGTGATTCTCAACCTGTGGGTAGCAATCCCATTGAGGGGTGGTGTAGAACAATCCTTTCACAGGGGTCACCTAAGACTGTTGGAAAACAGATATTTGCATTATGATTCATAGCAGTAGCAAGTTAATAGTTGTGAAGTAGCAACAAAAATAGTTTTATGGTTGGGGTCACCACAAATGAGGATCTGCTTTAAAAAAAAGTGTCACAGCATTAGGAGAGTCGAGAAGAACTGAGGTAAGGAAATTGTCAGTAATATAGTCTGTGATAAACAAGAGCCTACTTCCCAACCAAATTCCTGTATCTGTATTCTTTTTGGAATTATTCAACAAATTGTCTTTTTATATTGTTGATGTTCAAGCAATTTGTGAGGAATCTAATGAGGAATGGCTAGTATTGCTTACAGATAGGCTCTAACCTGGTAAAGTTCACAGTTGGGTCTGATATGCAGGACTGACTAACTAGGTCACAGGCTAAAGGTTTTGGAGATGCCATTGCACAGGCAGAGTGGGACTGCCAATGTGTCATATCCCACCTTTCATAGTATCACAGTAGTGGGGCAGGGTCCAGAGAAAATACATCTGTCACTTCAGTGGCTCTGACTTCAAAACTGTAATACTTTACTTTCCTTAGGCCACAGAATTTGATGAAATTGCAGGTAACCTAGTTACTGTTTTGTGTTCAATTAAAAATTCTCTTGGGAGTCAGGCGTTGGTGGTGCACATTTTTAATCCCAACACTCGGGAGGCAGAGGCTGGCAGATCTCTGTGAGTTCGAGGTCAGTCTTGTCCACAGAGTGAGTTCCAGGACAGCCTCCAAAACAATACAGAGAAACCCTGTTTCTAAAAAAATTCACTTGGAAATGCTAGTCCCTGAATAAAACTCTACTATTCAGGAACACTGAAGTATTTTTTTAATATTACAAAAAGTATTATCAAGAACATTTATGAGACTTGTAAATTTGGATGATGATGTAAAAATGTTGTCACATAATGGAAAATACTTATTTAAAGTATGATTTGTTTTATAAATATCAATAAGAATAAGTCATAAGAGTCTTATATGCCATATGTAAAACATAGATGAATATATTTATGCCTTTCCATAATATCTAGGTGTCTTGAATAGCAATAAATTCACAAGACTTAGGCATTTAAATGACAGCAATTTTGTATAAAAGTCACCCATCTTAGTAATCTTGAGGAGAATGCTAACTCATATAGCATACCACATAGTAAACATATTTGTCCCTCTGTATATGTATATATGGATTACTGAATGAATGCAAGTTGAAGAGTCTGCATTAGAGTTCAAGAGGTCTTAGAAATGGCTTAGAAAGAATCTAATGGTAAGAAAACCGTCCTGGGCAGAGCTGCTGGGAGGGCCTGGAGTAAGGTGGGAGAGAGTAGCTGGGAAGCTCCACTGTGAGATTAAAGGCCAAACTGGGTCAAGAGCAGAAAATGGCAGTTCAGACAGGTGATTATGTGTATAGACAGGCTGTTCAGTAGGCAGTTTCAATAGTAGGGACCCACCTGAGTCAAGGAGTCTGTGATAGCTGACACACACACACCAGATATCAGACAGTAAGTTGTTCAGAGGCCATTCCATTGCAGTCTTAGGTGTCCATCACTTTATGGGATCAGGCAAGGGACTTGTACCCTTTTCTGGGTGTCTGATAAGTTCTTTCTTTGCTTTCCTTGATTTGATCTTAGTATGCCCACTTGCCCACACCTTTTCATTTCTCCACAGTATACCTATAGGATGGCTTGCTTTCTATCCTATCCCCAAGAGTAAGTCACTCATCAGACTGTGCTAGGTAGGTGGGGTTTGATGGAGTCGCTGGAACTCTGTGGGGCTGCAACTATTTCCCTCTCAAAGTGGAGTCAAAAGCAACTCATAAAATGGAGTTTCACAGGCTCATGCACAGACTGAAAAACTCCTGTTCTATACAATATGGAGTAACTCAATAGCCGTGACTGTAGAACAGCAGTGCTATTGAACTTCACTGTGGAGAAAATTGAATGTGGAAGTTAGATATAACATAAATTGCTGGTTCTAATTCTGCTGTGTTTTACTAACACAAGGTAAGGTCTCCTTTCTTATCGTATAAACAGGGTCCCTGATATTTAAGTACAATAGTAACTTGTGGTGATAAAGAACTTGTCTTCCTTCCTATAGCTTAACTGTCTCTGGATTACTATGTGCCACTGAACTGGGTGTTTGGTGACAATTGTGGTATATTGTTATGTTCAAACAGGCCTTGAAAGATGTGTAAATCTTTGGAAGTTAGTGGGCTTGCTGGTAGGACATTTTCTATGCAAAGAGAATTTCAGTAGCAAAGGTGAGAAGGGTGACTCAGCTAGAGTAGGAGAAATGTGAACAGGAAGTCCGTGCAAGTGAAGTGTCCAGAAAACTTTGGACCTTGAAAACCAGAGAGCTTTGGTCTTGCTCTTAGGATTGTGGGTGGAGCCAGCAGCTGCAAACACAAAGGAATGTGATGAGAGAAATTACACGAAAGTTAACCTGGGAGCATAGGAAGTGGAAGAATGAGTAGGAGGCTGTTTACAAAGGGCAGCAGTAAAGACCTGTGCAAGAGAGGGTAGAGAAGCTGAAAGAATATGCTAGAATGGACTAGGATGCTGTCATCCTTTTCACGTTGGGTTTTCTTCTAGTTGACCCCATCTTGTGAGCACTTGGCATGCTTGCTACATAGAAAATGTGAGACGGCTGTGAGTTTAAAGATAAGAACAATGATGGGGCGTTGGTGTCACAAGCCTTTAATCCCAGCACTAGGGAGGCAGAGGCAAGCAGATTTCTGTGAGTTCGAGAGCAGCCTGATCTACAGAGCAAATTCAAGGACAACCTTCACAACAATACGCAGAAACCCTGTCTTGAGAAACCAAAAAAAAAAAAAAAAGATAATAACAATGAACTTCAAACATGTTGTAGCACAATCTATTTCAATTTAGAAAAGAGTGGACCACCTGTGCCCTCAGATTCTACGTTGGTGAATTGAACCGTGGGCTCTGAAATGTGTAGCTGCTGACAAAGATGATGTGAGGAGGCTTGCCACAGCTGTGTCCACGCTGAGTGGGCAGACAATTTTGGTCATTATTATTGAAACAGTGCAGTGTGTCTACTATGTACCTAGCATTTGGACTCAGTATCAGAAGTATAGTTACTGAAACAATGTCTGAGGGGTTATGTGTAAATACTACATAAGTTTAGCATTCATGAATTTAGAATCTGTTGCTGATTTGGGCAACAGTTCTTCTAGGATACTAAGGGAGGTCTGTTTTCAACTTAGATTTTCCATTCCCAGAATTCCCTCTATTTGTGTTTTCTTTATTGCTTCTATTTTTCATTTTCTAGTTTTGAATAGTTTCCTTCACCTGTTTTGTTTGTTTTCTCTTGGTTTTCTAAAAATATGACACACTTCATAAGTTTGCATGTCATCCTTTTGAAGGGGCCAGAGTAATCTTCTCTGTATCATGCCAATTTTAGCATATGTGCTGCGGAATCTAGAAGGAGGCCTGTGTTTATAATAATATAGTGTAATGTGCAGTTGTATGCTCCTCCCATCTAATGAATATTTCAGAAGAAACTCTTTACCTCACTGTCCTATTGTTAGCCAACTGATAGAATGTTATTCAGTGGATAGATATTTGGATGCCTGAAAACTAAAAAGGAGAACTCAGACTCCTTTTCTGTAGTATTAAAAATTCACTTTCTTTAGTCTATTCCTGGTCCTGCATGATTAAACATCTGGTTTGAGAAAAGGAGAGCCATGCTAAGATGATAAAACACCAGGAACAAATTTGCTTATACTCTTTTCTGAAGGCAGTTTTTTGTTGTGGCTTTGTTTGTTTTTGTTTTCTTCATACAAGGCTACATGATGTTTCAAAGTTATTTCTCTCCATTCCTTGGAGAGACCAGGGAGCTCAAGAGACCTCTTATTAAGCAAAGGCCAATGACAGAACACTGAGGAGAGGGACTGACACAGAGCTGTGTTGCACTAGTTTAAAATGTGTCATTTGAAAACCACAGTATCCTCATCCTCAAGGTGCATTGCAAGAAGATGTAGCCCACTGCCCTTCTGATCATCTTGATTTATGGGGTTCCTGAGTTGGTGAGTCTTGTAAAGAAAAAGCTGTGGAATATCCTTATATACCTGCTATTTGCAGCTGATTTGATGAAGTCAAAAAAGCACATGACACAGTAATGGAAGGAGTGGTGATGCTTTCAGCAGGTGGACTACAAGAGAGTAGAAAGAAGTCTGAGTAGAGATCTACACAGAGTGGGAGTAAACACGGCAAAGTTTGGAAGGGAAGTGGCTTAGGAAATCTAAATGGATAAACTAAAGGGAAAATGTAGTGGACTGAAAACAAGAAAGCTAAACACTGCGAGTGTGACTTTATTCTATTATTGCATTTTTCTTCAATTAATGAGATTATAAACAACATATTATTAATAAAAGAGACTCTCTTCTCTACTTAATTAGGGACTAGAGTGGATCATTTCATACGCAACTGGGAAATAGAGGCTTATCATACACATAGTGCTTTGGTTTAAATGTGAAGCATTTAACACAAACTCATAAATTTATAGAGTTGTCATACAGGTGGTGGCACTGTTTTGAGAGGCTATGAGAGAGTATGGTCTTGAGGGTCTGAGTACCAGATGTAGAGCTGTGAACAGGGCACTTGACTTACAGCCACTCTGAGATAGTCTTTCCTTTTTTGCTTTAACTTCTTCATCTGTAAAATGAGGAATAGATTTTTCTCACGATAAAGTAACAACTGTTAGAACAACACTTGAAAGAGTTTAACTATTTGACAAGGATATGGAGCTTATTTGAAACATTAATCAAAAGAAATCATTCCAACATATCTGTGGTGCAGAGTGTGTGAAATGTCCTGGACTTTTGACTAATGAAGGTCAACTCCAGCTTGTGAGGACTGTGTCCTAGTTTACAAAGCTGTGGTGTCATTTTTGCTCATCTACTATTTTGAATATCCTGAATATCCAGGCAGATATTGACAAAGCAGTGAAGGCTGCACGGCAAGCTTTTCAGATTGGCTCCCCATGGCGCACCATGGATGCTTCAGAAAGAGGGCGCCTCCTGTACAAGCTGGCTGACTTAATGGAAAGAGATCGCCTGCTCCTGACTGTGAGTATTCACTAGCACCAATGGGAGACACTGGAGAAGCTCTGGAGAGCATGCACTGCTCCAAGTGGCCAGTCAGTTTGGTTTTGAGCCAGATTGCCAAACTGCTCCTGCCCTTTTCTAGAACTTCTCAGAGTCCAGAAGCCAGGTGTGCTAGACTCATGAAAGCTCTTCATGCTCTCAGGGCCTGCATTTTCTAATTTCAATAGTTAGATAAGTCAGTATAGAACAAGGATGGAGGGTCCATCCCTTTGTCTTTTCAGCTTTGAATTTTAGTAAAGTCAACTGAAAACTAAGTGGCACACAGCTTACAACTCAGAGTAAGTGTTTCTAACTTTAGAATCTTAAGTGACAATAAGATTTAAAACTTTATTTTATCAAAATATCAACAATCAGCAATTTTTGAGAATCATTTATTCCTTAAGGATTCTGTGTTGTTCAAAACATGCCAAAATAGAATATATAGCTCTGTAATAAATACATACAAACCGAAATGTTTGGTTGAAAGTAACTGGCATTTCCCAAAGCTTAGCTCTTCTTATTTGTTTTAACTGCAAAGTGAGAAGTTTTAATTTCTTCTGTGAGCTTGAGAGCCATAGGGAGAGGAGAATAAGTATTAAATGGACAGTATTAAACCTGTGCATCTTGCCAGGTGACCTCCCAGTAGAATGTATTATTTCAAAGCATCTTTTAAAGTCTGCATAAAAAGAGAAGTCACTGCTGAGATAAAATGTGTAACATCATAACCTCTTATTTTTCCCTTTATGTAAAATAGATTCTTCTCTTGTATAATATATCCTGATCGTATTTGCCCACCTCCCTCTATTTATCCCTGTTTCTCACCCCTGCATAGGTATCCACTCCCTTTCTGTCTCTCATTAGAAAAGAATAGATTTCTAAGAGATAACAACCAAACATGACAATAAAATAAAATCTAAGATAAACTTAAAGCCATCATTTTGAAGTTCAACACAAAAAACAAACAGAAGGAAAGAAGCCCCATGAGTAGGCATGAGAGTCAGAATTATAAGCTAAAAGCTATAATATATATGCAGAAGACTCGGTGCAGACCTGCGCGGGCCCAGTGCTTGCTGCTTCGGTCTCTTTGACTTAGTGTGCACCTTGCTTAGTTGATCTAGAGGGCCTTGCTCTCCTGGTGTCATCCATTTTCTCTGGCACTTAAAATCTTTCTGACTTCTCTTACATGTGGTTCACTGAGCTCTAATAGAAGGGATTGTTGAAATAATTATAAAAATATTTACCAAATGGGGGTTTATGGTTTAAAACTCTGCTATAGTAAATCCCCAATGAAAGATACAGTCAGATGACAAGTACAATTGTGCTGGAACTCTGATAGGATACTAAGAATCATTTTCACAGCTGTGAACTTATATAACAGTGGTCAGATACTGCTTAGCCAAAGGTACTTAGAATCTGGCAGAAATTTTATGGGGCATCAGGCAATTAGAACCTCACTACCTCTTTCACCAGGACCATGTTATATGACCACAAAAAGACATTTGATTCTTTCTTAAGTTGTTTTTAAAGGAAGATTAGATTTAAGAGTCCTTGTATTTCTAAAAAGTTTTTAGTACATAAACACTAAAAAAACTGACTGTATATTTTTGATCTAATTTTTATTTTTAAAAGTTAGGACTTTGATATTACTACCTATTTTTCAGACAATGGAGTCAATGAATGCTGGGATAATCTTCACAAAGGCATACACGGTGGATTTCGAGGTTATGATAAAAGGATTAAAGTACTGTGCAGACTGGGCCGACAAGATCCATGGTCAAACAATACCAAGTGGTAAGTATGCTTGGGAGACTACTAACATGATGATAGACGCAAGACCATCAGTACAGATCTGCCTGAGAAATGTATGCATCAACTTGGTAAATAATTGCTTTCCTATGCACACCAACAGCTGTGATTCTGGAAGTTCTTTTAGGAGTCAACATTGTGAATCGTTTAGTAAGAACATTCTCATAGACTCAACTACTAATCTGAATGAGATGTCTCAGGTTCCTAACTTTTCAAAGCTGGTGATGGAAATTGTATATTGAGCTCCATTTCCATATAATGACATTTATATCTCCTCTGTATATTATTACCTAGGACTTTGAATGTCCTGAATGAGTTAGCTCTGCCAATCTGTGCCCATTTAAGCCTAGCATACTTTGCTGAGGGTATTTCAACAACACAATTTACACTAATGTGCTCCTAAAACATCCAAACAAGACAAGACAATGATTACCAGGTGAGTTAAGATCCTTTCCATGGAAATGTTGTCTATTACTTAGTGAAGTATTCAAGTAGCAGAGCAGACACATGACAAACATTTCTCACAAGAAAAGAATCAGCTTAGGAAGAATTGGAGGCAGTTTCACATCTGTAACTGTAAAGAGTATAGGAATGGAAACGATCAGCTTCAAGTTCTGTCTATGATGTGCACTTCCACTCTAACTGGAAGATACAGTATAAGAGGTGTTAGCTAGGAAGTTAGAAGATGAGAATAAAACAACAGGGGTATTAGGATGGGGGCTATTTCATGACTCTTCGGAGGCATTTTAAGTTCCATTAGAATTTGACAGGGAAAGTGCTGGTGTGGTAGCAGGTTCCTGTGGAAGTCAGAACAAAATATACAACTCCAAAAGGGGCCATATCAAAGTGAGTGTTTGCTGTGATAAAACATCATGACCAGGATCAGCTTGTTAAGGATGGGATCTCTTTTACATGTATTTCCACACTATACTCCATCTCTGAGGGAAAAAAGGGAAAAAATCAGGACAGAAACCTGGAAACAGTAGATAGCAGAGGTCATGGACAGACAAAGCTTACTATAGGCTTACTTTTTATGGCTTGCTCAGCCTTATTTCTTATGCATTCCAGGATAATCTGCCCAGGGATGACACTGTTCACAATGTGCTGTGCCATCCAAATCCAACAATAACTGGGAAAATGCTGCACAGACTTGCCTACAGAGCAGACTGATGGGAACATTTTATCAATTAAGATGTCCTCTCCCAAGATATATTTAGGCTTGTGCTGCTAGTGAGGCACAAAATTCAGTTAAATCAAGATAGAGAAGAATCACATTTCACTTTAGATATTTTACTCACAGAATAAGAGATTGCATTTATGTTTAGTAGAAAAAAAGGAAACCTTGCACTAGATCACGTCTAGAGAAAGACTTCTTATGCCTCGGAGAAGTTTTACTATTTTAAATAATTTACCTGTTTAAAAGTTGATGCTACTGGGGCATTTGAGATGCTGCAAACATTTGCATGTGACTCTGCACTTACTGTGAGAGTACATCACCTCCCACTTCCTTTCTGAACTACTCTGTATGAGAGTGATACAGAAGGCAGCCATCTGTGAATACAGGGAATGGAGTTAACAGCCTATCAGGTCTTTCCCCATCTTGTCACTTATTTTCATGTACCCCAGTCTTTAGACTGGAATTGCTGCTTAAGGACTCTATTGTCTATGCTATCAACCTTACAGATAGGATATTTTATTTCCCTTTTGCTACTCACTGAGGATTTCCTCTTATAACTAACTTGAATCACTCTGCCATGCATCTTACCACATTTGCCTTTAATGGATGCTGTGTCTGCTCTCTTTTCAAGATGGAGATATTTTCACTTACACAAGACGTGAACCAATTGGGGTGTGTGGTCAAATCCTCCCTGTAAGTTCTCCTTCATGACTCTAATGGGTGAAAGAAAGCAATAACTCTATAAACTCTATATGATCTTAAGCCCTTCCGCACATAAGTGAAGCTTGTGTGAAGGTTAAGAGTGAAGTAAATTCCATAAGCATGACTGCCTGAATATTATATTCCTGTACCTTTGTTTCTTGGATATGAGCTAACTGATGCAGATCCCCCTCAACATACTGTTGTACCTTTGAGGGTGTTTCAGTGTTGCCAAATAAGCCCTAAGTGTTTACTGCATGGACTGTTATGGAAATTGTGCTATGTTCTGGTCTCATGAGTATGTGGCAAAGGTTTATCACAGCTCATCTGTGCTGGTACATGTCAGAGCACACAACTGTGCCCAACTGCTTCCAGTTGCCTTCTTCTTGAGTCTTCCCACTGTGGACAGCAACTGAAGCAAGACTGTTTAAATCCTGGAAAATGCCTTTAGATTGAAGGGGAAGGAATAAGCTCCATGAAAATTGGAATAGTCTTTGGCCTGTATTGTCCCTTTAGGTAGCAGAGTTGGGGACTCAAAATTCTTCTTCCAAAAAATCATGTTCTCATTGTAACCTGATTTCCTCTAGAGTTAACACAAGACACTGGCTACATATAGCTGACTTGATGTAATTTAAAAGGCTAAATTAAAACACAGCAAAGTGTCCTGAAGTTTTTGAAATAACAGTGACTCTTGTTTAGTGAAACTGAACATATCATTGCATTTCATAGAAGTGTTTAAGTACTTCATAGGCTTATAAAAACACCCAAGCACACCTACATCACTCTATCAGCTAGGAATATTGGATAAGTTTAAACGTTAGCTTCCCCATTCACCCTCTGGATGTGACACCTCTTTGCATTTAACAATGCTCTTTGTCCTGTGTTGAACCTAGCTCAGTGATGTGTAGGACACATTTAACATGCTTAACTTCCTGGGATCACTCTCTAGAACACACACACACACACACACACACACACACACACACACACACACACACACACACATCCCAAAGCCAAGTGCCTAAATGCCAGTGTAAGAATACAATAAACAACAGCATGTGCCTTCCAAGGAGAAAGAAGATGAGGATATTTCACACTTTTAAAACACAAGGAAATTACCACATCCTTAACTATATGTGAACCATGCAGTAGCATTTGTCTTGTAAATAAGGATTCACAACAACAGGAATTGATCAGATTTGGTAACACTTTCCTGTTTCCATCTCCTATATAGCTTGTTTGGTGCTTTTTATCGTTTACTAGTTTCTTTTGTGAACTTAAGTAAAATAAACTCGATAATTGTACACAACTTCCAATATATTAGTCAGCTTTTATCAGGGAGGCAAGCATCAATAACCAATGTGGTTTCGAGCAATGCAAAGAGTTCATTGTTTAATTTTGCTTTCTAGTGGAATGGACCCTTGTTAACTTTCATTTGGAAGGTAGGCCCTGCCCTTTGCTGTGGGAACACTGTGGTTGTCAAACCAGCAGAACAAACTCCTCTCACTGCTCTTTACATGGCGTCTTTAATAAAAGAGGTGAGTCTCCAGAGTCACCACATGCAGGTAAATTCAGGGTCCTCCCCCCTTACCTTAGAGACCTCATTTCCCATATTGTGAGCTTCACAGATCACACATGGCTCCTGCCCACTCATGGAGATAAAAGCAGCAATGCTAGAGTCTGTGACTTTTATCAGTCAAAACAAATGTATCTCTATCTAAATGATGACACAGGCTTATAGCCAGTCATTTTGTAATCTATAGTATATTATTCAAATCTCATCAATTTAAGTTCATGAGGAAATATAATATTTTCTCAAATGGTGAAATATTGAGCTATATCTTCACCATCCAGCTTATAACTGGCCTAGGTGCTTCTGTAAATTTACATGAGTTTTATTATCTCTAAATGTTGGAGGCTTCTATGCCAGTATGTCTGCTATGCCAATATGTTGCTAGTTTAGCTGGTGGAAACAATAAATTCCATCTTTCTGCATAAGTAATTTAACAAGCACTCCTATATCCTATCAATTTGAGTTACTTTTGTAAAATTTGACACAGGTAATCATTGGTGTGATGAACAGTTGTCACAATTTTGTTGTCAATTTGACATACCTAATAAGAAGTTACTTCATATGAGAAGTTGTCTTCATCAGATTGACCTGTGGCTATGCCTATGGGGTATTTTCCTGATCATTGACTGATGTTAAGGCCCAGGGCACTGTAGTGCTATCCTAGGCAGGTAGGCCTGGCTGTGTAAGAAAGGTAGCTGTTCCAGCCAGAGAAAATAAGGCAGCGTATAGCACTTCTCTATGGTCTGTGCTTTTGTTCCTGGCTTCAGTTCCTACCTTGGCTTCCCTCAACAATAGATAAAACATATAAGCCAAATAAGTCCCTTTCTTCCCAAGATTGCTTGATGTTTTATCATACAAAATGAGAGGTAATTAATACACCAATGGTGACAGATTTGCCCTTAGAGCACAGTGTCCTAAGGGTTTTCTACCTAGATATTTTCATATGGATGAGAAATTGAAAACAGTAATGAATAAAGGAAAAATATACTTATGTATGTGTTCTTGATAAAAGTACTCCCAAGGTGAGCACAATGAAACAGCATCAATCTCCTCCTCAGATATTTTATGAATCATTTTCTTGATCTTCTAACTGCTTGCTTCTTAACTTGTAGGCAGGATTTCCTCCTGGCGTGGTAAACATTGTCCCTGGTTATGGGCCAACTGCAGGGGCAGCCATCTCTTCTCACATGGACATCGACAAAGTGTCCTTCACGGGATCAACAGAGGTAGAGTTGTTTCCTGAAGGTGTCATCTCTATCAAGCAGAAGCATGCTCTTTGCAGGTGTCTCTCCACCAAGGCTTTCTTTACAAAAGTTGCTTTGGTGTTTTCTTATTTATTCTAGTCTACAATATGTGTATCTAGGACAAGTAGATGAATTTTGTATAGATGAAAATTCTTGTTACTAATGTGGAAAGACTACAGCAAACAATTTTTAGCATAATCACTATCATCTCTTAGAAGAAATATAGTCTTTGAGACTGTCAGATGATTAGTAAAGTTTATGGTGGCAAATACAATTTAGGCCACAGTGATTTGTATGAATCAATGATATTACTGCCTCTATATTAAGAAAAGTAAATGGTAGAGTCTCACCTCTAGTGCCTTGTTTGCGGTTGTGTCTACACAACTGTTGGAAGCCTGTGTTTGTGGGGCTACAGTCAGAGCCAGCTGAGCAGCCCGAGGTTCCTGCCTGAGAGGGGGAGTGTGGGTGAGAGAAAAGATAGCTAAAGGGATTAGGAATCCCCGACACAGATACGGGATATCTGTCAGGAGGGCCATTCAGTCCATACTGAATGCTCCCTTAGTTTATTCTTTCATGATCTTATGTGTTCAACCAACTGTGAGGACAAAATGGCAGAAGACATCTACTATCATGTACAAAGGGCAAAGAGATTTACTTCTCCTAATCCTCCAGGTATTTGTTAGCTACATGTGCCAACCAACATTCAGGGTCAAGAATATGTTCACCTGGGCCCAAGCCTATTGTTGTTTAGATAAGAGACATCCACCACCAAGGCCAAAACATCATGTAGCTTCCAAACTATTGTCTTATGAACAATGAGACAGAACTTGTGGCAAGATGGAATGGACTCCTTGTCATGGGTCCTGAAACCCAGCATACTCTGAGAAGGAGACAAATTCTGCTTTTTTCCACGTTCCTGTTGGCAGAGCCTTGGTTTTCTATGTGCCAGACTACACCATGAGTAGATGACAGTTGAAAAACCAGAACCAGTCACAACTGTAACAAGACTCAGCAAGTGGAGAGAGAGTACTAGAGAAAGACTTGTGAAATATATAATTCTGGGGATTGAATGAGTTTCTATTAGAAACCAAAATATATATAGATATTACGCTGTTTCAAACATAGTCATGTTTGTGTCACTTTGTGAGTTTGGAATGTTGTTAACTATTGACAAAAAAGATACTGCATGATTTATTGGAATATGTGAAAAGTAAGTGTAAATAGATCTTTCCAGAGTACAACCTCAACTCAGGTTCAGGTCCTGAGGTGGGGAAGGGGCACTGGCAGAATGAAAACTTCTAACCACCAAGTGGGTTGAACTCAAGTCACCCCAAATTGCTCAGGCTGTCTTTATTTATATTTAGAATTTTTCTAGAAGGATTACATGAACAGCTTTGTTAATAGCTTCTATTTCTTTTCTTTTATTAATTTAAATTAGAAACAATCTTATTTTACATATCAATCCCATCCTCCCCTCCCCTCTACAAACCACCAGTCCCATTCTTCTTCTGCTCCCCAGGAAGGGTGAGGCCTTCTATGGGGGACCTTCAAAGTCTGTCACATCATTTGGAGCAGGGCCTAAAACCTCCCCTGTGTGTCTAGGCTGAAAGAGTATCCCTCTATGTGGAGTGGGCTCCCAAACTCCATTCATGTAGTAGGGATAAATACTGATCCACTACCAGAAGCCCCATAGGTTAACCAGATCTCCAGACTGACATCTACGTTCAGGCTGTCTGGAACAGTCCTATGCTCGTTTCCCAGCTATCAGTCTGGGGTCCATGAGATCCCCCTTGTTCAGGTCAGCTGCTTCTGTGGGTTTCTCCAGCCTGATCCCGACCCCTTTGCTCATCCCTTCTCCCTCTCTACAACTGGATTCCAGAAATTCAGGGTTTAGCTGTGGGTTTCTGCTTCTGCTTCCATCAGCTACTGGATAAAGGCTCTAGGATGGCATATAATGGCTTATATTTTTGACTTTAAGAAACACATCACAACCTAAGAATACATTGTGATTATTATGAAATCTCCCATTTTCCCCTTTATGCTTTCCCAAATGCAGCTTCAAACATGCTACATAACCTTATTCTAGACTAGTTCATTATTTTTTTTTTTGCAGACTTAACTAAGTATGAAGCCAGTCACCATTTTGCTCTTGTAGCACTTATGTCAGCTGGCAGCTACTTGTGGTTACAAAGTTAAAAAGTAATAGACATGGGTATAATGCTTTAAGGTCAACAACATCAAATCCAGACAATTCTTTACTTTCTGCAAGATATACTTTTTTTGGTTTTTCGAGACAAGGTTTCCCTGTATTGTTTTGGAGGCTGTCCTGAAGATAAGCTTTTCTACAGTTCCCTTTTCTACAAGAGGGTCCCATGTCTCAACCTTTATGTAAAAAGCAGACCTTGATAGAGCACTCTTTTGCCATCTCACTATACCATACTTCTTCCACCAATATAAGTTCCTGTGCATGGTAAAAATAGATCTATATGTCCCCCATTTTGCGTTATAGTTTTTCCTTTTGGAACATACAATATCCTTCAAATGATTCTATGCTTGGTATTCAGGGAACTTATTCTCAACAGTTGGTACTATGTGCATTCCGAAGGCTTTTCCCTTTTCTGTATACATGTGTCTTACTGTCTTCTTAGAACTGTGAGATATAGATGATGTTTCAAGTGTTATTTTCTCATATGTACCTCAATGTCTCTATTGAGTCAGAAAAGTTTCCAGGATTAGGAGTTGTAGTTAGTATTCAGATAACTAATGTGAGAAGCATTTGCTCCTTGTTGAATCCTAAGGAAAAGTATTTGAGAAAGAACATAATATCCAAGGAAAATTACAACTATTTCATGTGTGACTGACAAAGTAAAACTAAAAATCAGCCAATACAATGAGAGAAAAGAGCCTTGGGAGGCACAAATTTTGCAAATTTCTGTGCTGCCCTGTGGACTACTAGTCTTTGCCAAGTATTTGTCTGCTTCCACAGATATCTTGCCCTGAGGAAACCAGTTGGGTAGGTAGACACGTGCTGATGTGAGACTAGGTTACATGGCTCCCATCAAGACATCACTAAACTGCCAACACAAGTAACAGGTAGGATGGAGAAGGTGATTGGACACTACAAAGTTCTATTCGATGGATGAAGAGACTAAAACTCATGCAAACATGGAACTTACTCAAGGTTTTAAGAAGGAACATTTTATGCTGTGAATTGAGAATAAGTTCATTTTTTCATAATTGCAGTTAGCTACTTAGATGTTATTTTAAAACTTAACAGAGAATTTAAATAAGACATTGAGTTTTTATTTTCCTTCTCTTTTCAAATGTGTGTATGTTTGTCTTTCATAGATAGTAGAAAATGGTGTATCATGCAAATCTCTGATTGAGATTGTTAAAACCAACCATAGATTCATGATGTCTTTTGGAAAAAAGGCATGATGGTCCCCAACACACGATGATAGCTTTAATAGGTAGTGTGATAGTGAGTTATCATACAGGCAGGCCAGAAGGAAGCCTAGAATTCTACATCCTCTGTAACAGGGATGCAATGAACACTCCTGAACCCAGATCCTGTGGGCACTTCTCCAGTTCGCCTCTGCCCGTGTCTGATGCTCCTTGAGTCTGGCAGCAGCTTTGTTCTATGATTATCTTAACTAATCCTCAGCTTGGTGTCCTTTTGATATACCTGTAATGCTATCCTTATGCCCCTTTTCTTTCTGAAAAATAAACAATGAAATTTGGAGACTAGTCAAATTCTGGCTTCCAATAAGAAGGGCATGTCTGAGAAAACAGAAGATTCCTTTCCCATTTTGAGGTTCTTTATTTGAAATCCAAGGGACTGTAATTCTTACTTTATTCAGTTTCACACAACAAGAGTGAGAGCTGGAAGAAGAAGACATTTAGCACCCTGCTGAGCAATTAGTAAAATGTTTGCAAAGCATTCTCAGCTTCTGCTTCCTTGTCCCTACTCTTACTTTCTCACATTAATTTAGGAGGTGTGTTGTTGTGTGCTCTTATCTCTTGATTAATCCTTTGTCTTTCATTTGCCCAGACTTTGGCTTGTATATTGGCATAAACTCCTCTCCCCTGACTCCCACCTATGCTCTCATTGTCTGAGATGTAATCAAGGACATGGATGTCCTTGCCTAATAGTCAGTCTCTCTTCCTTGCATGGGTAGTCTCAAAGACTGTCTTGTTCTGTGTTATGTGTTACCCACAAAAGATGTATAGCTGCTTGTGAATTAATACTGAATAAATACATGTTAGCAACATGATTTTAGACACTACGGTGAACAAAAATAGCATTGTTTCATCTGGTACTCATGTTGCTTCTATATTCAAGTGTCAGGTGTCAGGTGAATTTTCTGATGAAATAGAAACCTTTCATTACATTCCAGCTTGTGGAGTAGGCAAAAGCCAGATGATAAAAGGAGCAAAATGCAGCGGTTGTCTCTAAGAGAGAATGTAGATCATGTTAGCATATTGTACTCTCAATATATACAATGAAGAGTCAATGATAATTAAAATGAGATTCAAAGACAGGCACACGCCTTTAATCCCAGCACTCGGGAGGCAGAGGCAGGTGGATCTATGTGAGTTCAAGGCCAGCCTGGTTTACAAATCGAGTTCCAGGACAGCCTCCAAAACAATACAAAGAAACCCTGTCTTGAAAAAAACAACAAAAAAATGAGATTCAAAAGTCAAAGCCAACAATGATCACAGATAATTATCTAGACAGGAAAAGAGACACAGAGAAAACAGAATAAAAGAAAAGCAATGTATGTTTCTTCAAAGAGGCAACCAGAATTAATGAAGTGAGAATGGTGGGATTCCAGCTTAGTGTAGTAGGAACAAAGAGCTCAGAGCCAGTTTCTTTTTCTGTGCAAAGTGACAGGTGTTTGAGAGGAAAAGAGTGGAAGGAGACATAGACTGGGAGAGGTGAGGAGGAAGGTAGGTGACAAAGAATGAGGGAACTGTGATAAATACGTGGGGAAATAGGCAGCAACTGTGTTTTTAGAATTACAGATATACATGGCACCATTTGAGGTGGACTCAGGAACATATTTATGAGCTTTGGGAGACATGGAAAAAAGAATCATGTCCATCTCATCAGAACAAGGCTGAAGAAGGGTATGTGTTAAGCGCTGATCCCATGTAAAGGACCAACTTGTAGGCAGTCTGGGCTGGGAGAGAGGGAGAGAGCTGAAATTTCTATGATGGAGAAGATACTGTTTTAGCTTGACAGAGTTCTCTGAATGTTATTAGAGGGATGAGAAGTCAGTGCATAAGGTGTTTGGGGATATTCCTGTTATGGAGGCTTTTATACTTGAAGGTACCAGATCCTGAATAGCACCATTAAATGTTTCCTCCAAACGAAATTAAATAGAGGTGCAAATGTCCCATAAATGGAAAGTATTAAAAACAACCCATTTATACTAGAACAACTTAAGACTCCTCCTCTGCGATATCTAATTTCAGGTTGGCAAATTAATCAAAGAAGCTGCAGGGAAAAGCAATCTGAAGAGGGTCACCCTGGAGCTTGGGGGAAAGAGCCCCTGCATTGTGTTTGCAGATGCTGACTGTGAGTACAAGTCCCTTGCTAGCATCTCACCTTCTTCCTCCTGATGCTTGATGATGTCATACAGCCACCTGGAGTCTCAAATATGACTTTGCTTCAAAGTAAAAAGAAATTAACTATAGTCTGTGGTGATTCTGGAATGCTTTTAAAGTGTTCCTGTGGTATATAGTTGACAAGTACAGAGAGATTTTTTTTGTCCTGGGTTGGAGTAGATTGCTACTTCCAAGTAGCAATCTGAGATAGTATAAATGGACTGAATCTAGAATATGTGATATGTTTTTGATAATTGCATATCTTTAATTGTAATGAGGACACAAGATATCTGAAACATTAGGGACCAAAAGTAGCCTGGTTGCCAGCAAGTTCTTATTTTTCCTGTGCCTTCACTCTGGATCTTTCACCTGGAAAGGGCCAGAAGAAAATTGAACCTGTTAAATCATTTCTCTCTTTTTCCATTTTAAGGGTAGTTAAGTTTATGGTTTTGCTGTGCCCTTATTAATAATGATCCAGATCATTCTTATTTTATTATCAAATGAAATCCTCATGTTACTTCCTAAACAGTAATGATCTAGTTGAAAGGTATGGGGAATAATTCCTTTAACCAGTCTTTAGTGACTCAGACTTAAAATGAAGCTATAAACAAAGGGTCCACAGAATTCACTGTTGTCACTATTGGGGTCTTTACTGGAAATATTAAAACTTACTACTTGGTTAGCAAGATTACTAGTTTGTCACTTTGGAAACTCTCCACACTACACTTTCAACAACTACTGTTAGCTCACCGATTTACATGCAAGTTCTACAATCATAAACTGAGTATCCTCACTTATAAAATTAAAACACACACACACACACACACACACACACACACACACCTATGTCTTTTTGTTTAGGATCAACAGTATTCTAACACAAATTCTAGGAACATTGGACCACCTAAACTAAGTGTTTAGTTTGCTTGTATGATTTAGGCTTTAGTTAAATTTTGGAAATGTTTTTCTTGTATTAAGGATAGGTGAAGTGCTATGATGTAGTGAGTTTTAGTTGTCTGAGTATCATTATCAGAAATATAACATTTTTTTCTATTGAGCAAAATATTCAGTAATATTTTAAAATTATTAAAGGCAATAGATAATTCAGATTTATCTTGTCAGCTAATTAAAACCTGACGCTTAAAAGACATGCAATTGCCTGAAGATTGATAAGATGGAAGTAGTTATAAAATTATCTGCAAGTATTCTTGATCTTCTAAACAAATCTATGTTCTTCAGAAAGTCACAATAGACACCATATTTTCTGAGTTCTCTAGTTGTTATTATCTCCATGTTAATTTGTTACCTGGCTTCCAAGCAGTAAAATATATTGAGTCTGTGTCTCATCAGATGGTTGATCATTTTTTCTATCACCATATTGCGTCTGAGAAATATGTGCGTGTGTGTGTGTGTGTGTGTGTGTGTGTGTGTGAGTACATATTCTTTAGAAAATGTTCCTTCTTTCCTGTGAATGCTTCCTTTGTAGTGGACAGTGCTGTTGAGTTTGCACATGAAGGAGTGTTCTGCCACCAAGGTCAGATTTGTGTCGCAGCATCCAGGCTTTTTGTTGAGGAGTCAATTTATGATGAGTTTGTGAAAAAGAGTGTTGAGAGGGCTAAGAAATACGTTCTTGGAAATCCTCTGAACTCAGGAATAAATCAAGGTCCTCAGGTGAGTAAATCTTAAGCAAGAACTTTGGATGCCAAAACTCATGTTTTCAGGTCAAATTTCAGTTGAGTAAGATTAACTTCTTATTTATGCTCATTGGTAGCTGATATTGTTTTGATCTGGTGATTTAATTAATCAGTCTTAAAATGCAGCGACATCATTTTCCTATCTAGAAACATTTTAGGAGTCATGGGGGAAATTAAGCATGGAAAGAAGGTCTGAGGAGATGGATCAACACATAAAAACATTTGTCACACAACCTCAAAGACCAGAGTTCTGGTTCTAACATTCACAAGTGGGATGTGAGTAGGAATCCATCTGTAATCCCAGGGTTAAAAAGGGTGAGCTGGCTAGTTAGACTGCAGCCATGAGTTCAGTGAGAGAGCCTTACCCACCCGTAGAAAATTGACCACCATTGAGGTCGACACTCAGTGTCAACCTTTGGCATCCACACACTTGTACGTATATGTAATGCAAGTATATACACTTTTCCCACGTGCAGTCGCTGGCACCTGTACCTGCATTTGCTCCTACCTATGCTCACGAACATGAAAACCCACCCACATACATACCACATTAACATTGACATACCAAAAATAAGGAAAATTTAAAAATGCTATCATTTCTTGAAGTCTTTCATTGGTGAATTCTGTGTAAAATTTTTATTCTGGAAGTTTGTATACATATCTGTAAATTCTCCCTTATAATCAATCTTTTATCTCAGCTGACATTCTATAAGCGTAAGCACTCCCTAACTCTCTGCAGGGTCCTCAGTTTCTATGATGTAAAGATATCATGTTTGGGAAGGTCTTGGATTCTGAGCTTCAGATAAGCTTCTCCTTTTAATTATCAAAAGCCAGGCATTCCTTGAGGACTCTGGGTTTCTTCTTTGTAGTTACATCCACTGCAAATATGAATGTCTTTGTTTCTCATCTAAAATTAACCTTTTGCTTTTGCACAGCTTTTGTTCATGGTTCACTGTTCAAGTCCTTGGACCTTTTAAGCTCACTCCTCCCTCTGTATCCCACAATAGAGGACATTGACCATATCTGGAGACAGATTAAATTGTCATAACAAGGTGAAAGGGATCTACTCATATCTATGAGCAGAAGAATGAATGCTGCTGAGCACCAGTAGTGAACAGGGCAACCTCACCACAATGATCTTACTGTCCCCAAGTGCCAGTAGAACTCTTCCTGAGAGTAGTGCACTAGGGACTGGACATTGACCTTGGAGTTGTTTGCTATTCTTTCACATTAACTATGATATACTGTTTCTCCTGTTGAATTGGAACCAAGCCTTATTCTTGAGTTATTTAATAAGTGTAACTTAAATTCAGTTAAGAAAAAGAGTACATTACTACCAGCCATACCTTGAGAGAGAAGATGGGCAAACCCGTAAAACTCAAAGAGGACATGGTCACTATTTTCTCTGGACAGATTTAGCTTGGAAGAAGGTCCTGGAATTTTCTACTTAGCCTAAGCGTACAAGTAGAAAAGCTTTAGGACAAAAACAATGCCGAGTAGTGAACCAAAGACATAAGGTAACTGTCAAGCGAAGGAATTACAGTGTTGTTTCAGTATCATTGCATTTTTCATTATTGAGTTCAGAGATTATGAAGTGCTTGGTAATTTTCATCATATTTAAATTTTCAAATTTCTATTTGTGTCTCATAGTCCAGAAAAAAGTATAATTCTGAGTGGTCTTGCTGTTACTGTTTCTCATTCTAAGTCTCTATACATAAACATAAAATATGTCTGTCATTAGATATATAAATGAGAATATAGAAGACAGAGAGTAGATGAATGGAAGACAAATAAATGTTAGACTTATGACACAGTGTTACATACTTAAAGGACAGTAAGGAAAAGGAGGAGCTACTGGAATCTGTCATCCACAATATTAAACAAGCGCCAATAAATTCCTTTAGCTGGAAAGAAATCAATATCCTCAAAAAGTAAGTTTCGATATTTTATAACTTCTAAGAAGAATAAATTAAAATAGTCTTTAAATATTGATTCATGGAAGTTGAGAGCACACAATCCCATTTTCTACTTGATTAGCACAGGGATGCATTCTGTGAGTTCATAGTTGATTGTGTAAGTAGAAAAGACAGGCATGCTGGGAATTTGGCCAACAAAAGGGGTAAGTCCCAGGCATCTCAACGTCTTTCCCTCTCTCTAATAAGAAGGAGCTTATGCAGGATAATGGTGGTACAATCCCAGCACTTGGCAGGCAGGCAGAGGGTGGTGGAGTTCAAGACCATCCTGGTCTACAAGAGCTAGTTCCAGTACAGGCTCCAAAATGCTACACAGAGAATCCCCTCCTCAAACCACCCGCAACCCCACCAAAAATAAAAGAGCTTAAGGTAAGAGACATTGACTAGCATCTCGCTCACTATTGATTGAGTCACCAAGTCTTTTTAAACAGAGTTTGGGAATATATACTGTATCACAACTGAATATATATGGTGACAAGAAAAGCCCTATACATTTGTATAGGAAAAATAACTTCCACAATTTGAGGAGTTCTTCCTTTTTATGGTTACCAATGAACTGTATTTGAGTTTCCTAGAAGTTATAATAGGTATGTTACTTATTTATATAGGGGTAGTTTATTTATAAACATTTTTCTTTTTTACTTAATTATACACATATATAGGTTTATATGTACATATACTTGAAATGATCAGTATTTTCATTTGAAAAAGAAATTTGACATTTCCTCAACTCAATTTCCTTCCCAATAATGGAAACATAGTAATATCAGTCCCAGGGATTTGCCACACACTGAAATGAGACATACTGCGTGTTATATTGACACATCTAGCACCACACTGATTTTGGTGTATATTCAAAAATGTCTACTAAATTAAAAAAAACCTTTATGCCTTCATGCATGGTAACAATGTTCTCCTCTTAGAAGCAGTTAGTTTTTTATTAATTTATAAACTTTGAGAATTTGATGTGAATACATTTCTGTTACTCCCTCTTCTCCTCTCTATTGCCTCCCTTTTCACCCTCAAATTAATGACAGCTTCTTTAGTTATTACTACACACATATCTACATATTGTGCATAAACATATCCTGCCCAGTGAATTTGGTGTGGTTTACAGTCTGGGACTGGGTAATGCCTCAGGGGATTTCTCTCTGGCAAAATTGATTCTTTCTGTTATCAGCTATTAATTCCAATAGTTCCTACTCTGGTGCAATTTTCTCCATCCATGTCTGAAGCATGCATCTAATTAATCTTATCAATAAAAACCAGGAGTCAGATATTGGGGTAAAAACCAGAAGGATGAGAGAAGTAGCAGAGCAGCACAGTCACTTCCTGCCTCTTTTGTTCATGGGACGAAAAGAGCCAAGATCCTGTCTCCACCACATCTTATGACTTCATGTCTCCTGTACGTACAATCCTTCAGACTTCTATGGTTAATTAGTGGCTAGCTCTGTCCTCTGACTCCAATCAAGCTTTATTTCTCAGAACACAAACAAAATATTACTACACAACTCATTGTTTGTTGCTTTCATCATTGTTTGGGTCTTGTTTAGATGGACATATTGTTGAGACTTCATGGGTATAGCTTCCCTGTTGTATATAGCCAACACTCTCTCACAGCAGACATGCTAATTCTCTTATAAACTCATAAATATTCTTGCTCCTATTTAGCACGGTGAAGGGGTTGTATTGTACACTTATCAGTTGAATTAATACATTTTAATATTTATTCTAAATGGCCTTGTTTGACTATGGTTTTCAAATATGGGCTTTCCACAGGTAATGCTGTGTTTCTTCAAATTATCTGATTTTCAGCACATCAACTCTAAGAAATAAGAGAATTTTTGTATTCAAAAAACTAAAGTGTATATTTGAGACCATTACAACAACATCATGATCCATCCAATTTCCTAGAGTTGTCCATGAAACAATAAAGGCCTCTGATACACACAAGCATTATTGAGTGGGCTCATAGGTTGATCTGAAACATAACTGAAAAAACCATGATGAACATGTCCCTATGTTTTGCCAAATTTTCTTCCATTAGACTTGTGCTTTAACATTGTTTCCTTTCATCTTGTGTATGGATTTTACTCACCAGCTCATTTAGTTCTTCTATCATGAGATCCATGAAGCTTATTTTAACTATAATATGATGTCCAAGCTGCTTATTGCAAGAGCATTTGAATGTAAAGCTCTATTCCATTTGAATCCATTGCTCTTATAAAGTTCCTAGCAAACAAACACCTTCAAACTTTTCTTTTAGAAAATATTTAAGGACGGGATTTCCACCAGCTATGTTTTCTGGAAAAAGACAGGGAATCACTTTAATTTGGGAAATAAACTTAAAACAAGAACTAATAGTGAGTTTTGAGTATATGGTCTAGTTAATTTTAAGAACAAGGGATATGCTTGGGACCAGCCAGCAGCCAAGGAGTCTCCAGTCAACCAGACACTAGGTAAGCAGAAAAACAGGGCATGACAAATGAAAGAAGATCAAAAAACCAGAGACAAAATGTAGGTGAAGAGAAACAGGTTAATATAAGTGAAAAGAACAAGTGCGATAAACCTGAGCATTCCCAACTTATAATATGTCTCCTTGTCATGATTTGGGGGCTGGAGGTTTAAGAAAGTCAGTTACAATTCTATAATAGGCTAGAAATGAAGAGATTTTCTTAGGGAAATATCCCTTTGAGTGATGAGGTAATAAGATTTTATAGCAACATGGTATCATATACAATGCCAAAGTTTCTAAAATTATAATTGATTGTAGCTAGCATTTACGGTACCTGTATGTGGAAACTGGGATTAAGTGTAGTTAAATATCATGCCATGGGCCGGGCGGTGGTGGCACATGCCTTTAATCCCAACACTCGGGAGGCAGAGGCAGGCAGATCTCTGAGTTCGAGGCCAGGCTGGACCAACAACCTCCAAAACAATACAGAGAAACTCTGTCTCGTTAAAAACCAAAAAATAAAAAAAAAATAAAAATCATGCCATGGAATCACTTCTGATCTTCACAAGTTTGAGGAGATTGGGAGAATCCAAGAAAATGAACAATGTCATTTTTTTTAAGAAATGACAAGGGACACTTTCAATTTAAATACTTTTAAGGGTTTTCTCATAAGAATTCATGAGAAAGAAACATACTGAAGAATAAGATGAATACCTGCCAACTATTTTGAAAAATCAGATTTAGTATGAATACCCTGGCATTTTGAAGCCCTCATTTACAATATGTTATCATTACTGTCACTCTTTTCTTGTGATTTCTTTCAACTAGATTGACAAGGAACAGCATGATAAAGTACTTGAACTCATTGAGAGTGGGAAGAAAGAAGGAGCCAAATTGGAGTTAGGTGGTGGACGCTGGGGGAACAAGGGATTCTTTGTCCAGCCCACCGTGTTCTCCAATGTTACTGATGAGATGCGCATTGCTAAAGAGGAGGTAATGGTTCATGTGGTTCTGTTTTTGGGCCTGCCATACTCTTCTGTGTGTATACCATTTGTCCCTCCTTAAACCTTCAGCTCCTTGAGTAGCATTCCCCTAAAATGCTTGTTGATACAGTCTAAAGTAAGTTGTGATCAAGACTGACCAGTGATGAATGCAGTGGGCTACAAACAATTTATATCAAATTTATATCACAGAACAAATTCCACAGCTACTTCTATAGGTGCTTCATTCACAGCTTTAGAGGAATGGGAAAAGACTCTGTCATTTGTAAAAACATAAACAAATGGGCACTCTATTGTGTTACATAGGCCAGCACTGAACAATTTACACTGAAAAATCTGTTATAAAAAAGAACACAAAAGAGTCAGTCTCACAGAGACAGAGTGGACTGTCTTTGTAAGGTAAGTGAAAGTGAGTTCTGGGCAATGCCATCTAAGTAGCATCAATAAAGATCGTACCAGTATTCAGTGTATAATTAAGAGGAAGCAGTTTGTGATAAAAATGATAGCTAGTATACTTCATGTGTCTGAGGGCTTTTGCTATATGCAGAGATATAAGCATTTGCCTTAAACAATGAAAGTGTCAGTTACTACAAGAAGATATAGTGACTCAAAGGCCCTGAATCATAATTTAAATATCCAGTATATCTATACACATGTCCCTGATATGGAAGAGGATCTGAGATGTTGTTTTCTTTACCTCCATAATATAAACAAAGAAAGAGAAAATGGAACTATCAGCTTTGCCAGGAGTAGAAATGAACATAAGGAACAGAAATAAAAATCAAATGTATTTGGATAATCCACCATACTTAGTTTGTCTGCATCAATTTATTCCTCAAATGCATTTCAATTGCTACATTTATTGGTCAATTCCTCTTTTATCATAGCTATTTTTCTTACATATTTTGATTAACATGTATATAACGGACAATAAAGCAGAAAATAATCTTCAAGAAATTCAAGAAATTGGGCTCCTGTAATATACTCGCTGTAGAGCCCACACTGTGTGGACTAAGTTGTTGTTACTCTGAGCAAACCCACCATAGTCCTGCTCCTGCTGCTTTCCATTTACAGTTTTCACAGTGTCGTGTTTCCCTGTTATGGGATCATGGTAGAAATTAGAATCCTAGGGTCTGCCCCAACCTTCAGGTACTAGCCACTAACTGCCCCATATTACCCAAATTGACTTGGAACCAGAAAACCATTTGAGGATTGAGTGTTTTTGACGCCTCATGTTCCCATTTCCCAGGAAATTGTACTAACACTCAGAAAAGCCCTTTAATTTCATTTTGATAAACACCTTACCAAAAATACAGCAGTTTCGTATTTATGTGAAAACCCAGTTGTTTCCTATTACCTGGGGGTGAGATACAGATTGGGTTTTAGTAATTAGACTCCAGTAGAAATCAAAGACTGGCTCATACTGGATTAGAAAATCTTGTTCCCTATCCTGAGACTCTAGCCATTGCCAGAGACCTCAGGTTTTGGTTTCTATAGGTTCTGGAGATAGGCTTCCAGTAATAAGTTTTTTTTCGTTTTTACTTTTTGGTAATTCTGTATATGACTGAGTGACGAGTAAAATCTGGATAAAAGTTTTGTGCTGTTTCAGCTCATTTTTATAATTATTTAAGTATCCAAATATAATAAAATGGATGATATTTGAATTAATGATACACTGGTGTCTAAAGCATAAACATTCTCAATCATTTTCTATTTCTTTCTCTCAGAGCAAAGGACTGCCTTTTCAGTCATGCTGCCTTGTGCAGTAACTTGAACAATGAAGAAAACTAGACTTAGAGTTTAAGTTGTTTCCAGGGAAATCATGCATTTAGTGGTTTGATGTTCAGTTCTTTCATTTAGGGCAGCTCTGTCACAGCATGTAAGACTAGATGCTGCCATGAGGACTGGTGTCTGCTCCACAGAGAAAATCACACATGATCAGAACATGTTTCCCTGTTCCCTGGCCATGGTCACCTGTTCTGATCCCTACACCCAGATATGAAGTGAGAGACAGCACTTTAGTCCATATAGAATAGATCCCAGGGAAGCATATGCAGTGTATTTAAAGCATATGGAGTGTTAACCATTTTTGTGTTATTCTTGTGTAGATATTTGGACCAGTGCAACAAATCATGAAGTTCAAATCTCTAGATGATGTAATCAAGAGAGCGAACAATACTATCTATGGCCTAGCAGCAGGAGTCTTCACGAAAGACCTGGATAAAGCCATCACCGTGTCTTCTGCTCTGCAGGCTGGGATGGTGTGGTAAGTGCGTCTGAAGTAAGGTGTGCCCTTCCTGTATCACCCACATGGACAGGCTGAGTTGACATCCTCTAGACTTGAATATTCAGAGAAATCATCTGACCTGGTAAAAAATAGTTTTCTTTAAAAACAAAAAAAGCAAATTATCCTTATCTAGCTTTCCCAGTTACTTATGAAGAATAGTGTCCCTTTAATGCCTGTTTGATTTATACAATATATGTATTGTTAGATAATTTCAGGGCACTTGATACTCTACTATAAACAAAGGAGATGAAAGAAAAATTCTGTTATAGTTAACTGTATATTAGATAATATATATTGATACCTTATTTACACTAGACATATTACAGTTACTATCATTTGTCATACTTGAAATCAAACCTATGGTGTTACAATAGCTGACAACATGCTTTACTTGTGAGCTCTATCCTAGTGTGCTTTATACTTTTTAATACAAGACAGGAACTCAGTTCCTCAATCTGGCCTCGAACTCACTCTGTGGCCTACTCTAGCCTTGGACTTCTTATATTCGTGAAACATGCTCCTGAGAGTCTGGGATCACCAGTCTACATCTGCAGACATGGTGCTATTTAATTATTTTTTAAAATTAATTTTTATATATGGGTGTTTTGCTGGCATGTATGTCAGTATACCATGTGAGTTCCTGGTGCATGCAGAAGCCAGAAAAGAGTATGAAATCTGCTGGAAATGGAGTTGTAGGCTGTTGTAAGCCATAGGATGTAGGTACTGGGAGCCAATTCAAGTCCTCTGTAAGAACAGCAAGGACTATAATCTCTGAACTGTCTCTTCAGCCTTTTCTCTAGCTTTTGGCTTAGTATGTTCTTTGATTTTTGTAATTTAACTTTAGTATAAATTCTCAGGATGTGCCTCTTAAATTGAGACTTTGCCCAACCAGCTCTTTACTATGGACTGTTTCCTCAACAGCCTTATTTTTTTTTCAACCAGGCAGTTTCTGACCCTTTTGATTTCTTGAAATACCTTTTCCTCTCACCAAAGTGAGAATCATCAACTACTTACTATTAGCTCAAATTTGCAATGTATTTCTTATACTCAATATTTTGTCTTACTCAATACTACTATTTGTTATTCCAAACCTTTTCTGTTACAAAAACCAGGAGCTGAGTTTGCTGAGAATTTAGGAACTGATTTAGGAACTTAAGGGAATACTATAGGCACTTATTAAGACCATACAATGAATAGAAGAGTAAGATCCATATTCTCTAAAAAGTTCTTCTCAACATTTTTCACAGTTTAATATGAGTTTAGTCAGCTTCACACTAAAATGACAAAATAAAAATGCTTTGAAATATGCCAACATAATGTTAAAACTGTATCTTGGAGTAGTTCAAATTTTGTATTTTCAACCAGTAAAATCTGTATGGACAGTCCATAGACTGAAATACTCTGCCTGCCTGCATTTCAGATAAGGAATATGAAGCCTGTATCATTGAGAACTTAAATATATAGAACATGAGACTGGGGATATGGCTTAGCAAGGAACATGCTTGGTGCACACACACACACACACACACACATACACACATGCACGCACACACATACACACACGCACGCACACACACACATTAGTTGAATGAAAAATTTATATAAACAAGCAAATGAGGGATGAGGTTGAGAATCAAAGATCTTAATCATAATACGTATCTGTGATTTATTCTGGGCATAGGTCTTTTATTCAACGAAACTTTAAAAAATGCTGTAAAACCTTAATATACAAATAGCATTAAGCAAAAGAGCCTAAAGTCTGTTTTTTAAATAGTGGTATTAACCCCCAAGTCTCTTAAAAGAAATAATCAAAGTCCTATCATGTTAGTATAAATAATGATTAGCATAGATTTTCTATGATAAAAGTACTGGTAAATTCAGTCTTACTAACTAATACACATTACTATTCTGCGTTTACTAAAGATGGTGTCCTGTGTACTTTTATAAATCATCTGTCAGAAGTCAACAGCTGCTCTATAAAATATAGAACATTATTCTCTCTGCATTAGCATTAAAATAATTGTTTATGGCCTGAAGAACTACAATACAGTCAACACTTTCCCATTACCTTGATCTACTACTTAGCTTCTATTAAGTTCCGTCACATATTGTTACTGTATTTTCGTTTAGAAACATCTTCAAAATATTTCTAAAAGCTAATTATCAGATGGATCAATGGGATCAATTCCTGCCACCACTTCTGTTTAAACCATCTCTTGACCAATAATTGAAACAAATGTAATAAGTACTGACACACATAATAATTGCTAAAGGTACATAAGTTTTGAATGCTAAGTGTATAGACCTCAAGATCACCACAAATACCATGCATGTAAGACATTAAAGAGCACCATTCAATCCCAACCTCAGATATTTCCTTTTGTTTATGAATATATATGAGTGTGTACATATATACATACATATATACATATGTGTGTGAATATATATTCAAATTCATAGTTGTGCCATTTATTTCTAAGTAATATATAGATGCTTTCTACATTCTAAAGTATAGTGTTCTTTTAATTTCTATGATCATATTAGATTGAAACAAAGGAGTTCTTATGGAGATTTCTGAATTTTTAAATTTCCTGCTTAGAAATTATGAGATGAATTAAGTATTATCTATAGTAGTCACATCTTCTTTGTTTTAGGGTTAACTGCTATTTGACTTTTTCTTTCCACTGCCCCTTTGGTGGATTCAAGATGTCTGGAAATGGGAGAGAAATGTAAGTTAAACTTTCTATTAAAATAAACACTTATTTTGTCATAAGGATTGCCACTCCCAAGAAACTCTTTTATTTTCACTGCTTTTGGGGTAAAGTATTTTTAGTACCAAATAGTTTTTTAAATGTTGAAAATGCTTTCAAAGTGTAGCAAAGCAGTAACAGATGGAATATACCTTATTAAACTCCTACTATCCATATGTGGCCATTCTAAGTACTCCTCCTTGGTCACTAAATTTCTACCTGTTTTTAGGATTGCCTATAGTATATGTGCATAGAAGCTAGATGGGGAAAGAGTCTAGGAAAGCAGGTTAAGGGTAAACTGATGATATTGAGATGCATGCAAATAAATACACTCTAATCATTTGAATACACTTCTTAAATAAATTATAATTGCATTATTTCAAACTGATATGCTTCTGGTGAAGTCTACCTAATAACTATGATGCATGTGTTAAATAAGGTTTGTTGCAAAACATCCCCAGATAATTACTGACTGCTTCCAAGAATTATGAGTTATTTTCAAAGGCAGAAAAGTAGAATTAACAAATTTGGAAACAGGGTTCCCAAAGAACCCCAAATAGAGAACTCAGATGAATTTGTATTCTCTTGATTGTATTTGTCAAGTCTGTTTGGCAAATGTTTCCCTGAAACTTCATTAAGGTTCATTTCTTTACACCAGGGATGAAACAGACAGAGATTAATCTCATATTGTTTTATGCATTGTGTAGACTATCATGAGAATCAAGACTGTTATGAGAAAGCTTACTAGAGCTCCTCCAGATCTGCTTAATCAGAATCAACATTTGATGACAGTCCCATAGGATTTGTATATAGTAGACTTAGAAGTTAGAGATAGCAATGTATAGATTTTTCTTAGCTAAGGAAAAATGTAAGGGGATAGATGCTTTCGTGGTCTGTGTTAAAATAATATATGTACATTATATCTTAGGACATCCATAATGTGACAATACATTTAGAACTCTTCTGAGAGTGCCCAGTGCCTTAGCAACCCTAAATACAATGGGAAGCAACTTGGTCAAAATTATGAGTTAATAAATTGTCTGCCTCTTAGATATGAACTATATTGAAACAATACATTTAAGGGACGTCAGACAGCTGGATGAAACCCTTTAATTGTGTAGAAAAGCATGCTTTTGAGGTTTTTGAAGAACTAGATTCAGAAATTCAAATTATTCACAAAAACAGTAAAAGGGGATTATTGATGACTGGCTGTAAAGAAAAAGACATTATCTATGTATATATACACAACTGATTCAGGAGCAGGACTGATACAAATTACTCCTTGGTAAACCTGTGTGTGTATAGGTTTGATGATCCTGGGAACAATCCTATATACATGTATGTGATCTTCTTATCCCAACAATGCAGAACAAAAGTGGGTGTAGTCTTTCTAAATTAAGTTATCCACCAGCTGGAAAGAGATCCTGATTTCCAAAATTGGTCTCAGGTAGAAACCTAATAAGTTACGGTGGTATCCACAGATGAACTCAATTCAACGTCTGGTCATTTGGGGTTGATTTGAAAAAAATATTAACTGTATAATAGGACATGGAGCAACAGTGAAAACCAACATCTGCTAAAATCTAAAAAGCCCTAATTAGATCAATCTTAAGTTTCATTCCTCCTTAAAAGGACACACAATCAGAAAACAAGACAAAAAGAAACTAATAAAGAAAAATCTCACCTACAAAGATTAGGTGTTTGTTTGGCTCACAGTCAAAAGATCCTGTTAAAACTACAGCTTCAGAAGAACAAAGCATCCTGACTGAAAGTGGAACTTGGTTATTTTCTAACCTTTCACCACTCCTGTGACAGTGCAGGCAGTGAATGCAGGCTCTCACGCAGTTGGCCGTTTGTTCTGTTGCTCTTCAGTCACCAGACAATGCATTGTGAACTACACTTCCCTATTTATTGGGCCAATAAAGTATAATCAGATTGAATTATGTACTAGTTGGCCATATGAACAAATAAAGTGATGTAAATAATGGATATCTTCCCTGGAAACAAGCCAAGTACATAATTACTTAAAATAAAAGACATTTTAGAATATTGCTCTCCACTGGGGAGTTTATATTTGGTCATAAAGTTTATGGTAAGCTAGCACCTATATAAACTAGTATGTATTCAATAAGTACTTTACATTGCCCCTACTCAGATAAGCGAGAAAAACCTTGCACCAAATTATGACAGATATATTTGACTTACACTGCAGTGTGCAATCATGTTTATAAGTTATTTTTCTTCCATCTCTAGGGGTGAGCTTGGTATATATGAATACACTGAACTCAAGACAGTTGCCATGAAAATATCTCAGAAGAACTCTTAAAGAAGTCACCAGAGTGAAGAGAAACCCTTCAGCAAGGACTACACATCTACTATAGTCACCCCAATAGTGTTTTTCTTTAAGTCTTCTATTGATTTCTTAAACATAAGCGACTCATTAGTATTGATGCCACATATAGAACACTTGTAGTTTAATCTGAAAGAATCATTGGCCTTCTAATATGGGACCCCAATTCATATAATAGATTTAAAGGATAGATTTAGGTGCAAGCTCTCTGTGACTCTGTCATGATCAGGTGTTTTCCAATGTAGAATGTTTAGAATATTTACCTGGTAAGGAGGACCAGTTGTAATTTAAACTCTGTCTGTCAGTGACTCCTTGAATCACTCAATCTGCACAATGACTGCAGAGTAAGTTGTTCTGTTCCCTGTGGTTATTCCTTCTGAGTGTTGTGAAATGGTTTCTAGAATGCCATACCTGCTTGTCAAATGAAATGCCTATCTGGAATTAGAATGTGAAGCTTAATAAAGGTAATTTCACAAGATTTGTTCAATTTGAGTTTTTAAAATATATATTTATTCATTGAAAATTTCATATACATGTACAGTATATTGTGATCATATTAAAATCTCTTCTCCCCATGAGTCCTTCCTGATCTGCATCCATGTACATCCTTCTCCCAATTTCATGCACATTTAAATTGACTATGATCCACTGAATCCAGATAATGTTGCCCAAATGCACATGAGTGTGAAGCCATTCACTGTGGCATGGTCAATCTATCAGGAAGGAGCCATACCTCTGGAGAAAACTGATTTTCCTTCTCCCAGCAGCCATCAACTGCTAATGACTACTCTTGGGAAGGCGACTTTTTATGCTCCTGCATCCATGCTGTAATACTGACTGGCTTTTCCTCCACAACCACCATGAGTTCATGAGAACAATGAACCCATCATGTCCAGAGGCACTGTTATGTAGTAGTCTTCCCTGACCTCTAGTCTTATTTGTACCTCTCTTTTATGATGTTCCCTGGACCTTGGGGAGAGGGATGGTAATACGGAAGTTCCATTTATTTCTGAGAATTCCACAGTTATTTATTCTCTACATTTTAAGCAGGTGTTAATCTCTGTATTATTTATCTTTCTCTGAAAAAGCAACTTCTCTAGAGAGGACTGAGACATGTAATAATCTATGTGCAAAGATGTAAGACTTCAGAGGAAGTCTGATGCTCTATCCTTCAGACAAATGTACATAGCACCTCTGTTACTTTGAAAAAATAAGACAGCAGGAAAGACAGTTCTAAGGCAGTATCAGTTTGAAGATTCAGAGGAAGATTTGATGAAGACATCCCACTAAGGACTAGGAGTTTCAAAGTCTCTCACTCTCTGTCTATTACTAGCTGTGGATCTCTGGGTATTTTCCCATCTGTTGCAGGGAGCAGTTCCTTTGATGAAGGCTGAGCAAGGCACTGAGCTATGACTATAGCAGAATTTTTGATCATATTTATAATCATTTTTTGAAATCATTATCTGGTATTTCATCAAAGTTGTTTTTGTTAGGGGCGTTGTTATGTGATTGATAATATTTTGAGGAAAAATAAAAACCTGTATTTACTTGTTACCTGTATTTTGCATTGGGATCTGCTCATCCAGGGTTAGATCATTGTTTCAATTTTGTTGTTATTTTAATTTGGGATGTCTCAATTCTTTCAGTGGAGGTGTTTGCAGTATTCAGGAGAGACTAGGTTGTGAGAGAGTTATATTGGTGTTTTCCTTGTTACCACGATGTTCCAGGCAGTAGACTCTTGCTGTCATTTACTTCCATAGGTTGAGTATTGTCATTAGCAAAAGTCACCATCTAGCTGTTAACCTAATGTGCTTAAGAGAGGAGCAGGTGGTGACCAAACATCTACTTGTTGTGTGCTGAGCGTTTTAATGAGTAAAAGGGCCCTGATAGCACTGTGAATAGTTTACAATATTGACAAGGTTAGATATCCCGAGTTTGAGTGGAAAGGAAAGGAAAAAGAGGTAAGTAAGCAAGGTAAGACCTGTTAGTATTAGTTTGTTAGGTGGAAAGTATAGGAGACAGAGACATGTAGGACTGGAAATAATAGAGGCCAAGGAAAAAGAGAGGGTGAATATGTTGACATTTTGGATAACAGTAGAGTAAAAAAAAGGGGTAAGATAAATACCTAGGTATCATAAACAAAGTTCATCTCTATGTAATGTGAATTCTCATAGGTCTTAATAATAAAAGTCTGGAGTCAGATATAGGGGAAAATATTGAGAGATCAGAGAGAAGAAGGAGCAAACCAAAGCCACCTTTACCTCACTAGTTTGCTAGTGGAAAATGGAGCAAGTTCCTGTTTCCTCCCACCTATATTCCTTTCTCCACCTGTACAGACCTCCAGACCTCTATGGTTAGCTAGTGCCAAGCTCTGCCCTCTGATCTTCAGACACACTTTATTTGTACATACAAGGTATCACCACATTTCCTGGCTTTAGCAGATATAATAGTAAGAGGAAAAGGTAAGGGGTAAGAGAAAGGAAAGAAAAAAGGCAGAGATAGAGAGACAGCAAAAATGAGAGAATGGTGTGAACTGGAGGGAACAGTTTTAGCTTGCTACAACAGATGCTGTAGGGAGGACAGCGAGCTGAGTGAAAAGATAAGACAAAAAAACACTTGACTTTGATATTGTTTCAGTGTCCTTGGCAGGTCTGCTGTGTTATCTCCCAGTCCCAGTACAAGATAGACAGAGTACTGGTTTCTGCAAGTCCTGTTCTTCTCTTGTCAACTCTAGGCTCCTCCTCCTCATGAGTTTTCTGGCAGAGCTACTTCCTATGTGTGAGCCAGGGCAACTTAGGCAAGGTTTGCAGAGTCATACTTTGCATGACCCTGTCTGGCCAGCAGCAAGGGGTGGCTGTGTGATGCCTAAAGCAAGGGTTAGAACTCATGCTTACTTTCCACAGTTTCATGATCCATTGTTAGGATAGTGGTACCTAGTCACTGCAGAGCCCTTCTGTCAAATCCCACAGGCGTAGCCTTGCAGATTTTGTGGTGTCAGTCTTTCTGACTAGCTTGCCAGGGTCTGTATTAATTGAATGTATCAAGTGAAGTTACAGCAATAAGGTCAATAGAATTGGGTGGCTGGGACTTCCTAAAATGGATTCTGGGAACGGAGAAACAGTTGATGGAGTGATAACATATTCCTGTTCTCTTTATTTCTCTAAATATAATCGGCCACTTCTTCCAGTGTGGCATCTAAGCCAACATTACAAAGAAATAACAACTTGAAATTTTTAATTTTGTTTTATATAGCATGTAATTATATTTAATGTGTGTGTTTGTGTGTATACGTGTGTAAATGCAGGTGCTACAGGGCACACATGAATCTACGAGAAATGTTCATCTCAGGTGAACAACTGATCAGACCCACTGGAAATATTCTTCCACTGAATTGTGTCACTGTGTTTCATCTGTGTATACGTAGGTGACTTTGTGGTTGGAAACATAAATCTAAAGTCCATGCTACGATTTGCTTTGCAACTTTGTTCCAGACTATTGTCACTCATCAGCCACTGATTTTTTATTATTATTAGTTTTTTTTTTACCTGGGATCATTTCCCTCATTAAGGAAGCTTCAATCACATCATCTTTTAGACAAATAATAAAAATGATAACTGTGGTTTCTTGTGGAAATTTATGAGATGATTTCTCAAATCTCTGAGCACTAAGTAGCACATAGTTGAGTCACAGTAAGGACATTACCCACAATCTTCCTTTTTTGTGAATTACATTTTTTAACTTTAGAGATTTAGTGAATAATCAGTTAAAATTTAGGTGTAGGGAAATGGCTCTATTTATAAGAGTGCTTGCTCTGCAATCTTGAGGCTCTGAGTTTGAATCCCCAACATGCAGGTAAAAAGTCCAGCATGGCTGTTGGTGTGTACCAAGAGATGGAGACAGATGGATACCAAGATCTCGCTGGAGATCCTAGATTAAACAGCAAGATTCCAGTTTGCATTGGTCTGTTCTCAATAGGAAGAGAGCGAAAGGGGTGAAAATATAGATGTATTTTTGTCAAAATCCAGGAAGACCCTCTGGGGGAGAAGCTTAGAGTCACATTCAGGGCCAGGCTGACATGTTTTCCTGTTTCTCAACTACTATTCTGCAGCTCAACAAGGATAATTATTATTTCCCCCTTTTCACATTATTTTTATTACTTATTATTTCTTTGTGTGTGTGTGTGAGTACGTGCATGTGTGCGTGCATGCATTTGTGTGTGTATGCTGTACACATGTTCAAGCACATACATTGCCATTGATGACAGTCTGCAGAGGAGTCCATTGTTTCTTTCCATCAAGTGTACACTGCTGAGAACCTCTTCTTTACCAATGGCAGAGACAGATACATGTGACTCACTGTTTCTAATATCACCAGAGAGAGCATGTATGGATATACACTATCCTCATATGGTCTCTAGGAAAGGTGAATAACACTACCAGTAGGGTAAGAAAATTCATGGCCAATAAATGCCAGATACTGGATTAGTGTTTGGAATCCAGCATCAAATAGCAAATATTTTTCTATATGGAGGATACAGACAATAAGCCATCACAGAGAGAAACATAATAAACAAATGCTTGCACAAGTTAAAATAAAAGTCCACAACTAGTAGTGACTAAAGTAGGATACAGTAAGTTTAATATGATGGAGCTGCTTCAGGGAAGTACTTTAGAGGTGATGGAGAAGCACATTGGAGGGGGTACATTCAACATAAGACATAGCTGCTGTGAAATTAATGGTTGGAGTTTACTGCTTCAAGTGATTTTGACTGCTGAAGACCTCATGGAGAGTAAAAAGCAGTTCCTGAAAGGGATTTAGTTATTACAGACTAGTTTCACTTGCTTTAGAGAAATAAACACTGCTTTGTAAATGTTGTAGAAACAAGTGCAGTTAAGGACAAGGTGAGTGGGCAGGAAGCAACCCTTGCACTATCTTGTTGGAAGATAAATTTCTGTAGCCACTATGGAAATCACAATGGAGATTGTGGCATGAATTTTCCTTGGAGAGATATGAACAAATGCCTAGTCACACAAGATAGGACATCTGTCACAACTAAATTCCACCCAGGTCTAGCTTAGTGACCTAGTGAGTTTTATTTGTGTTGTGTATAAGAGCACAGGTGATGATTTATTTATGACAGCATAGATGACTCAAATGCAGTTGTATCGAAGAGCACTCTGGACCACTTGCAGGCATCTCACAAGAAAGTCTCCTTACCCCAGTAGCTGTTTGCTGCTTTGCCAATCACAGGCTTGTGCTTGAACATCTTGAGATATTCTCTGCTCCTTGAGATCTCAGGAGACTCGATCCTCCTTCTGGAAGAGGAATATTTTGAGTCAGACGACATGGCTATCCAACAGAAATTTCTCAAAAAAACTAAATAGAAATACCATGTGATCCGGCTCTACTATTCTTAGATATATACCTAAATCAGTATACAACAAAGGCACTTGGTCATCTGTGTATATTGTGATACCT